GGAAGAAAATTTTGCAGCTGTTTAAAAATTAAGTAGTTTTATTAGGCTGATAACAAAAAGACCTTTTCTCTCTCTAAACTCAAAGGTCTTTTATCCAAGCCAAAGCTAGATTACATCTACATTGATAAAAATCAGCGATCCCAAACAAATCGATTCCTATAATATACACACAAATTGATAGAGACGTGATTATTCTTGCCCAGTTCACACGAACTACAAAGTTGACGTGCGTTGTGGCTATAAAAGGCATTTAAATGTAAATATTTATGTTAAGAAATCAGTTAGGTTTTAACTAAAATATGGAGACTGCGCGGTAGAGGTGGCAGAGGCCCAAGTCATGAGCGGGGAAACCTCTCTGCCGATAAAGCGTAGAGCTTGTTTCAGAGTGTTCAGAAACGCGCGAAAATAGCACGATTTCTGGGTGGTATAAACGGGACTATTCCCACCTCTCGTTTCCACCGCTGCAACCCCTGTGTAGCCAGGATATACAGCTTGATAGCCAATAAAACCCAACCAGTGTAGGCCAAGATTGTCCCGGGGGAAAGTTAAACTGTCATTGGACCCGCAACGAAATTAATCAGAAGAAATTTCTGGGTGGTTCTCATTGGCGAGGCACTGAGGCGGTAACCGTCCGGTTACGTTTTGATGCAAATGTACGAAAACTGCACATATAAGCCTGCAAAAAGTGATGAATGCGCGAAATTGTGGATAGTAGACCGTTAAATTGGACTCGTTTCTCAAAAGACACATTTGTTTCCCATTTGGTATGGACCATGCAATATCAGCAGTTTGTTCTTTCTCTTTCTTTTAGTAATACGCTTTAATCAAGTCAATAGGTAAATGCTTGAAGCAGAAGAGATAGATAATTAGCTACCATTGTCTCCACTGCTCGATGGACCGATGACCTCAAAAGAAAACTGGCATCATTTTCACTACAAATTTTTCCCCCAACGAACACGATCTGCCGCTTTTTCATCCAGCTGCTGCCAGTTCTCTTTTGAAGTCATCGGTCCATGATGAGATGCAGGATGAGGAAAGGTTTGAAATATAAATTCCATAGCCTCTACAACTCTCATTGTCTATGCCTTACGCCATAGAGCAAAGAGGACGTGCTTGTCTCTGGCCGATCGTGCAGGAAAAAATACCGATCCAATTTCATTACGCGGCCATTTTACGTCCTACCCACATACAGGGTGGTTTCATTAGCCTATTCGCTTTAAGGGAGCTCTTTCTAGGTATCTCTATTAATATTGCAAATGGGATCTTCTTTTGCTGAATTGGAATCTAAGATAGGTATTTTCTTTGACTTTGAAGACTGGCATCAGCTTAATGATGTTAGTACTGAAGCTTTTTGCCATTGTAAAAATAATTTAGGACGTAAGTAACTTATTTGCTGGACAATTTTATTTGATCTGAATATAAAAGGTACCTAGTAAATTAAAACCTACTTACTAATTAATTAATAGACTTACGAGCACAAATTTTCTCTATTTTTATATTTGTTTATGTATGTAAAGTCTAGTCTAAATAAATTGGACTCGAGTCGGATTGTTAAGTTATTTATTTACTTAAGTTCACAAACGATGCCTGCTTAAGTGATGCAGCAAATCGAACGCGTCCACGCGCACTGTGAGACCTCATAGTAATGTTTGTGAATACGGGCGTATGTCCCTTAACAGTGGTAGGGTTAATATTGGGACGTGTAAAAGTGCTTTTTGAAAGCCTATTTTCAAAAATAAATGAGTTTTATGAGTTTTTTTATGTGAGTTTTTCAACGCTGTGCGTTCGATTTGCTGCTTCACATTGCAAGCATCGTTTGTGATACGGGTGTCAGCATTTTTCGTTGTTATAGATAGTGGTCGGTAAATGGAGTGACACTATAGAGCTGGTAGAAAATAAGGTAAACCAAGTCAATAAAATTCGATGTTATAAGGAGTTTGTCGTTAAATCGAGTGACGTTATAAAGAATTTACAGTTTATTTAAAACTAATATTATCATGTCAAGTGAATACTCATATCAAACGAAAACATAGCGTATCTAAAACGAATTAGACAATCTTCCACCCTGTATAAAGTTTATAGAGCAATATAAAATTTTATAGCCTACAGGACCCGTATCGCATGCATTAAGATGCACTTCGACGCATCTACGAATGCATTTGGTTGTTTATTTGTTATATTACCCTGTATTTGGTTTCTTAGTTCTTCATTAAAGTTTGTTTAACGCATAGGTTTTTTTTAACTCTATAAGGGCAGAATTAAAATAACAAGAGAGTTAAGGGTTGTGTTGGATTCCCCTATTTACCAAGAGGGTATTCCAAAGGCTTTTATAGCACCATTCGCAGTCATCATTATCATCATTTCAGCCACATGACACTGAACATAGGCCTCCCCCACTGATTTTCACATCGCCCGGTTGGTAACGGCCTGCATCCAGCGCCTTCCTGCTACCTTTATGAGATGGTCGGTCCACCTTGTGGGTAGAAATCCCACACTGCGTTTAACAAAGGATGTGAATGCTTTCCATCATAGGACAGCTTTTCTAGTGGTAAAGCAAAATAGGTAATATAATAGATGCTTTGGCAATCGGCTTCTCGGAATACTTAGGCTGGATTGCACGGTTGGACCATCTTACTTTAACTTTGACAAACATAAAAAATCTGTCAAACTCCATACAAAAAACACCGGTTATCGTAAAGTTACGGTCAAAGTTAGGTGGTGCAACTCAGCCTTAGAAGTAAAATCTATACTAATAATAATATTATAAAGCTGAAGAGTTTGTTTGTTTACTTGAACGCGCTAATCTCCGGAACTACTGGTCTGATTTGAAAAATTCTTTCAGTGTTAGATAGCCCATTTATAGAGGAAGGCTATAAGCTATACAACATCACGCTACGATCAATAGGAGCAGAGCAATAATAAAAATGTTGCGAAAACGGGTTTTCACGCGTACGAAGTCGCGGGCACAGCTAGTATTTAAATAAAGAGCTCACACGTTCTTAAAAAGATCGAAAACTTGTGTTAAGGCTTTTAACCCCCTATTAGTGCTCATCATGTCCCTATCTGATTGGTGTCCGTCTCACCATCAATCTCGCCAACGCTGGCAGGTTTATACGTTCGCGTAATGTAACATAATGTCGTAAAGTGTAAAAGATTTATTAATCGCCATGTAAATTATTGGGATCATGCGAAACGCTCGCTTTGTTTAGAATGTAGTCGGGAAAAGTGAAGCAGGGTGAATCTGACAGGAATAAAGAATTTTTCAGTGTAAGGCCCGATTCGATCAAACTTGAATCCGAGAATAACTGCTGGTATAACTGGCACATTGACATTTTCAGTATGGGAAATATCAAAATGATAAGTTTATTCTGAGATTAATATTTACTCTTGTTTGGTCGAATACACCCTAAATAGCACAACATTAACACACGTGTAATGTAATGCACAGTTTTTCACATAACCCTCCTACAGCCACGGGACAAAAATGTATGCCATATAGACAACATAGCTTAGTTAATGAAAAAAAAATCAATATTGAATATTTTCTGATTCGTTTTTGTTGGTTCTGTATTGTTAATGATGTAGGGCTAGGGAATGCGTGGGATTCGAAAAACTTCACATTAGTAAAAGATATTTCCCTATACCTTTACTTACTTTTTTACATAATATTCTCTACGCTTTAAATTGATTTTGTAGATCTAACATATAGTTGTTAGCGGGGATTGGTTGCGCTGAAATATTGTCTCGGTGAAAAAGATGCCAAAAGAAAACTGAAGGATTTTCTGCATTTTCAATAACGTTCATGAGAAAGTACCTAGATGTCAAAAGTATCATACTAGCACGTCATATTATAGGCCTATAAGAGAAGACTAAAAAAATAACAAGATGGGCGTTTTCACAGCTCAAGCTGAAAAAGGTTATTTAACCCTTCTCTACTCGATGCACCATTTTCGCGCGTCATAATGGGTCGGTAATGAACTGTTAGCCGGCAAGTAAATAATTAGCCGGTCCCGGCGACCGATTCTGTGATTACCCGCCGCTTTTTATGGCCGCGCCCGATTTAGGTTTTTATCCTTTGTACAATTGCGAGCAAAGAGTTGGTACTACTAACTTTAAATAAACTTTTGATGTAATGTTTGCTGAGGAATGTTCAAATGTGATTTTTAGAAACTAAAATATTAGTTTTTAATTAAAAATAAAGGCATAAATTACCTAAGATTTGAATAAATACCAAGTTAATTTGAAAACGATTGGCTAATTTAAGCGACTTTATTTATTTAGTAAGTAATTGTCTTCATTTTAGGCAATTTTTTTACATCCCAAATAAAAATAAATACTAAATAGTAGGTTTGAAAAAAACACATAATGCAATGCAATGCAATGTACCCGTTAAAATTTTCCTCACCAATTTCGGAAGCGAATCGTCTACAATATTCTTAAGTTAAATACGACATGAGCCGATTATCTTGTCCGGCAGTGTTTTAATTTTAAACGCTCTTTTAGAGCTCGTTGCGGCCAATAAAAGTTTTTTTTATTGTTTTTTGTTTGTGTCGTAATGGGTTGAGGCTGTGAGACGGCCATATAACTGTTACTATCCTGATATTAAGTAAAGTATCAATAAAGGAATAAATCTGTCGTTGATCCTTTTTTGATTGAGTTAATCCGCTGATGACAGTTAATTTGGTTGAAGACTCTTTGGGTTTTGGATTCTATGTCTATCTGCCCTGTAAGTGCCTATTCACCCTCGCCTTGAAAAGGCCCGGATTATAGTTTTCGGGAAAGACAGCAGCAGGCAACAAATTCCAGTCCCTAGCTGTTCGCATTATAAAAGAGTCATCGAAACGCTTAGTGCGAGCTGGTGGAATGTCAACAATATAGGGATGGTACGCTAACCTGCGTCTGGTTCCCCGATGATGGAGGGAGCTGGTGGAATTAATTCGTGTAATTTTTTCGCACATTCTCCGAAGTGTAGCCTGTGGAAAACCGATAGGGATGCCTACTTTACGGCGATGGTCAAGTTCCTGGAACGCCGCTTCAACAAGGGTGGGGCTGTCGATAAGTCTTCTGGCACGCCTTTCCACTGATTCAGCAGCCAAATGTTTCTTGGCAGAGCCGTCCCAGAGGTGGCAGCAGTATTCCATGCAAGGTCGGATCTGTGTTTTATAAAGCCATAGGACGTCCAGTGCTGAACATAGGTCTCCCCCAATGATTTCCATAATGACCGGTTGGTAGCGGGCCTGCATCCAGCACCTTCCCCAACTTTTATGACCTTCGGGTCCAATGATAGTTTAATTTCCCGGGACAAACTGGACCTTCACTGGTTGGGTTTCTATTGCGGTCAAGTTGTAGATCCTGTCTACAGAGAAGTTGCAGCGGTGGGAACGAGAGGTGGGAATAGTCCCGTACCTCTATGACCTAAGTAGTGATGAATTGCCCTTTAGGTCACAATTTTTTTCATCAATTAATAAGGCTTTCTGTATCAGAATGAAATTTACACGGGCGAAGTCGCGGGCAAAAGCTAATAAGTTATTTTTTTAGTTCTTTTTCCAGAAAGTAATCAAATATTTTAAAGTTTAATCATAAAAACGCCTAATCGATAGGTATTTGCGATTGCAAAAGCCCTCAATGCCATCACTCACGTTACAGATTGGAAAAGTTGGTTTTTAATAAAACCCGAATTAAGCGGACTCCATTTTGTTAGTGACGAAATGAGTTTTTGTCCCTTCAAGTTTTTTGCCGACTGTTGAAATTGTTTTAATGCCATGCCCCACCATGCCCTGCGGTTGGGATCGAGTAGGGTGGAAGCGAAGCTATGGTGAAAGATATTTAAAGTGCCCTAAGCCACAGACCCTGTAGGCCAGCTATCTAAGGCAGAAGAGACATAAGTCGCACGTTCGTTAGTTCCAGCCAAGTAAAAAAACTCATAAAAATTCATAAAACTGTTTTATTTTTGCAAATAGGCTTTTAAAAAGCACTTTTTTACGTCCCAGTATTAACCCTGCCACTGCTTCAGGACAATAAATGGGCCAGTGCTGAGAAGAAGTAGCGCAAGAAACTCAGTCACTATTGTCAGCCTCCTTTAAAATATACATAATTATAAGTATTGATGTGAGATAGACAGTTATACATTCCAAACATTTTTATCTTTTACATACCTAATCATCAACTTTATAGTAGCCCTTTTTCATTAAGATGACATCTGGTGAATAAAGTATATGAACAACGAACGGTCCTGCGCTGCCCGTCAAATAGACCCCACCTCCATTTTAGGGTTATTTGCAACAATTTCAAACCATCGCTTAGCTCTCACTGGAGACTCTCCTTGTCCAAAGCACCGTCTGTTCTGCGGCGAAGTAAATTGTGTTCAAATCAAACAAAAGTACAGAATTTAAGTTCAAATTGTAGTTGTTCTGAAATATGCGTCCACCCGATATTAAATGCTTTTAAGTTCCGGTAAGCTTTACGTAGTTTAAGCTTAAGAAAGTTATTTTAAGTTTAATTTCATTGGTTACTAGGTTTTGCTCGAGTGAATTTAGTCCCATTTTAAAAAGTATTCTATGTTATTATTTCTCTGGATCTCAAACTATATGCCAAGTTTCATCTAAGTAAATTGGTTCAAGGATAGGTATAGATATGACTTTAACTGTTCCGCCTTAATCACTGAAATCTAAAAATTACTTAGATATTTTAGATTATTGAAGTATCAACCGAAAACTAGCAACAGTGGTTCCGAACTAAAATCTCTCTAATAGATGTTTACAATAATAAATAGTTAGGTACTTGTTTGGAATATCAGAGAAGGCTAACGCCCGTATTCACAAACATTACTATGAGGTCTCACAGTGCGCGTGGAAGCACAGGGTGACACACGAACCAATCACCGAGCCCTATTCAACGCTGTGCGTTCGATTTGCTGCTTCACTTAAGCAAGCATCGTTTGTGAATACGGGCGTAAGATAATAAAGAAACTTAGTCGGCAGTTTTGTAGAATGTCGCCTTAATCAGACATGAAGCATACACATACACTTAAAGTACATGTAGCGGTATATCAAGCTAAACTCTAGCTTCTTATATCATTGTAATAAGAGTCATTTTGTAATAAAAATATAGTCTGATAAACTGTGGACTGTACTTAATTTATTGTTATAGTCCCGAAATAAGGACTAAATCACCAAACTTAGGAGCCAGACCAGACTAATGTCCTGAAACGACTGCTAAGTTAATTTTATTGACAATGTTGGAATTCTACAAAACACAATAATATAATATACTACTTATATGTTTATACTACCTTTTGCCCACGACTTTGCTTGAGTTAATTTCGTTCTATTACAGAAAGACTTCAACGCGCACATACTCCCGTCCAAGAGTGGGATACAAACTATCCCGTAATTGATTCTCAAACTATCTTCAAAATCGGTTCCGTGGTTTATTTGTTTTAAGCTTGAAAAATAAAACTGATAATTTCTGATAGGTTAAGGTTTTGGTACACAGCATGTTAAAGTAAAAGCTGTCGTATTTTATGTTAGATGTTCGTTCGTTTTTGCCAAATGACGTCCACTGCTGGACAAAGGCCTTCCACAACGGCCATCAGCTCTACGCGTTATGTGCCCCGCATCCAGCACCTTCCCCTATTTTTATGACCTACGGGTCCAATGATAGTTTAATTTTCCGGCACAAACTTGACCTTTACTGGTTGGGTTGTCAGCGGTCAAGCTGTAGATCCTGGCTACAGAGAAGTTGCAGCGGTGGGAACGAGAGGTGGGAATAGTCACGTACCTCTATGACCTAAGTAGTGATGAATCGCCCCTTCGATGGCTCCTACGTATAAGGGCGAAACTGCCGCTTACGCCTTTTTCCAATTATTTAAGCAATGATTTCACTTTGCTCTAATCTATAACATCAGTAAGAAAAAAAAAATTTTTTTCCATTAGATACAAAATAAAATTTTAGGCAAATAGGCGTATGTGCAAAACTACGCCACGTATAAAGCCCAATCATACGATTCGTCAATCTATACGAGTAGTTGCTTACATAAACATATATTTTTTATAATCCAAATCTTAAATAAAGCCATGAAAATATTTAGCAAATTGTTTTATTTATAAATTATGACACATTATATTGTTATTTAATTTTTAGCGTTAAGAGTCGCATCTCAAACTAATTTGAAAATTATAAATAACTTGAAAAAATCGAACTGCCTAAGGCATCGTGGGTTCAATTCCCGCCTTAGGCAATTCGATTTTTTCAAGTTATTTATATTTTTTAAAAATATGACACATTATGTTAAAAGACCTAACTAAATCTCGAGCACAGTATATGGGCGTATTTGCGTTAAAACGTAAAACGGTACATTAAACGACTTTTTCTAACTGATTTATTATTGATATAGCACATGATAACAATTAAAATAATTACATGCATAAATAAAGAGAGTAATCGCTTAAAATATTATATTTACGTTGTCATTTAAGTCTCTTTACGTTGAACAATATACATGAAATTATAGAAATATGCCGACGTAAAAGGGCAATGCGTAAAATCTCAAAATATATAAGAAAAATATAAAAATTGATAACAGCAGTAGCAAAAGCATTACATGTTAAGGCTAAATGTGAAATTTCATTAAATTCGTTTTAGTAGGTCAGAAGATATGACCCAAAAATATGGTTCTGGCCACTAAAATGTCTCTCCTGTAAAATTTACTTTTTTCACTTACGCCAGTATACGTAGGAGCCATCGCCTTAGCGAAGCGAGCAAACGCTAATAAGTAATTTTTTTTAGTTTCTTTCTCAGAAAGTAATCAAATATTTTGAAGTTTAATCATAAAAACGCCTAATCGATACGTATTTGCGTTTTAGCCAAATGCCGTCCACTGCTGGACAAAGGCCTCCCCCAAGGATTTCCATACCGACCGGTTCTGTGCTGCCCGCATCCAGGTACTTCCTGGGACCTTCACCAGCTCGTCCGGTTCACCTAAGTCACTCACACCATGTCTTCCAGCTCGTGGTCGCCACTCGAGAACTTTCCTGCCACAACGGCCATCAGCTCTACGCGTCATGTGCCCCGTGCACTGCCACTTGATTTTAGCAATTTTGCGGGCAAAATGTTAGATCCAATAGAGTCCATTTTGAGACAAAAATATAGCCCGATGGGTTTTCTGTTTAAACTTACCAAATAAATAGAGTTAGGCCCAGAACAGACGGTGAAACGCAACTGCAACGAAACTGCAACTGCTAGTTACCTTTGAGTTGCATCCAAGTTTCTGCTATAGCGTCCGTTGAGAGACCACACATTACGCGAACAGTTTGAAACTTTCAGTTTCAGTTTCATTCATCACCATCGTCATCATTCAGAAATTAAGTTGCAGTTTCGTTGCAGTTGCGTTTCACCGTCTGTTCTGGGCCTTAGACAATTTTAACCTCAATAATATCAAATGGCGTAATCACATAGCTGTATACATTTACAAAGCATTAACTATTGTGGTCTGTAACTCAAATCCTGAATTCGTTGAAACGATAAATAGGAAAATGTTAACAAGTGCGTACTAGAATAACCGCAGATTTTAATAAATACTAATTTGTGTTTGTTTTGGAATGTAAATAAATATTATGATAATGCTTTGAAGTGGTATTTTATTTGATTTCGTCGAATTTATTTATTAGTTGTCGTTTTTGTGACAGTTATACAGGGTGTTTCTTGTAAGGTGTCAAGCCGAAGGCAGGTGATAGGTGAGGACTAGACCTATCGATTTCACCCCCATGTATGTTCTACGATTTTTCATAGTTTAGAAGTTATCGTTAATTTTGTGATTTTTTCAAATTGTATGACCCAGTAGGCTTTAAATTTTTTTATCTTTTTTTTGGGTCGACTTTTCTCAGATTTCTTTTTTTTGACAGATTCCCTATTAGTTGCAGATTTTCGGAAAAAATGATCAACTTCCTATCTTTGATGCAAGATACAAATTTTTTGCTAGAAACATAAAAAAATATGCTTTTAGCGGAACATCCTAAAATATTTCAACTTAAAAGTTAAAAAAAAAAAAGAAATTCCATAGGTCCAAAATAATTTTAAAAACTGCGCAGTTTTCTGAACTTTCATAATAACACAAAAAAACATGTACTTAATAGGCCATTAT